AGAGAGAGAGAGAGAGAGAGAGAGAGAGAGAGAGAGAGAGAGAGAGAGAGAAACAGATGGGGGGAATAAACAAAGGATTATAGTTACGTCTTCATACACAAAAGTTTTGTCTCAAAGCCAGAACCACCCTGCCATGTCTCCCAGGGTGCTCCAACAGCGTGCACAAAATTCTTCTTGATCGATAAAAGCATTGAACCCGGGCCTTCTCTCTTGACCTTGTCTGTTCGGTTAGGCTGGCTCGTGTGCACGGTTGTCAACAATCAAGTTTCGTGCCAAAGAAATCAAGAGAAAACAGTTTTGTGTTGTCCGTCACAGCACATTGCAGAAAGTTTCGGCCAAACGCCTTTCGGTTTGATTTGACAGCGGTCAGATTTTCCTTTATGAGTATGGGTAAAAGGTGTGTGTGGGAGGGGGATTGGGGGGGGGGGATAAAGCATGTTTAAATAGGTTTGACGAAAACAACCGATCATACGACGAGCAAGCACCTCAGAATCAGTGGAATCCTATAGGTCTGATTATGAACTTCCGGGTCAAATTTGATGAAGTAATGCAGAGATAGTTTGATACAGCGTGCACTGTCATTGTCCAACTCTACCCCATTTAATATCTGATCATGTATTTGACCAATGAGCATCCGTTCTACGATTCACAATAGTTCATATAAGAACTTCTTTTAAATCATTTTACCACCTATGCCCCCAAAAGGTGGACATACAGCGTTGCAGCATATCACGCACAATCGCTTTCATTTGCGCTGTACTTCCCAGGCCGAGAGATCAATCTACTAATTCCCCTCCCCAATTTCCAATCCTCTATCGCTGCTAACATCACCGTAAGTGTCCACACGGAGTTCAGGGTACCAGTCTCGGGGGTTCCCTGCTGACGTCATCCACCTAAGATGGTCCACAGATAGGACAAAGAACATTCAGACGTCGTGGTGGGTGAAATGAACAGAGTGTTAGAGACAACGCCTCAGACAATTCCCTTAGGGCTCGGTGGCTTTGGGGCGGGGGTTCAGTCTTGTGGAAAGGATTATAACAATAGGAACAGGCCAGTCACTAACCTGTTGTGTGGTGTGCATCTTGGTCTATCTATCTATCTCTTGTTTGCAAGCCTAGATCTACATGTTTGTCTGTCTGTCTGTCTGTCTTTTCTATCTATCTATCTATCTATCTATCTATCTATCTATCTATCTATCTATCTATCTATCTATCTATCTATCTATCTATCTATCTATCTATTTATTTCTGTGTCTATCTATCTATCTATCTATCTATCTCTCTATCTATCTATCTATCTATCTATCTATCTATCTGTCTATCTATTTCA